CAGCTTCAATATAAGTATTGGTATTGTGTAGTGGGTTTAAACAAAAATTGGGCACATGTTCAGATTTAAAGTTCATATCTAATGAATTACCTTGAGATGCACATTATCCTAAAGAATAAACACTATCGTACCTCTCCCCCAATAAAGTCTGATGAAACTTGACAATAATGAAGTATGTCGCGTTATAATGTTTTAGACCCTTAAAAAAAAAAAAAAGTAAACAAAGGGAAAACTCGTATGCCCTGCATAGCCACCCATTCTACCCCCCTCGACGTACTTGCATTTCCAAAAGCCCCTCTGGAGAATTGAGAAGTTTTGAAAAATATAAGAGGTGACTGAGGGTTATACTGGACAGAGGGAAAAATTGCCTAAAATTAAATGGAAGTGTGCCTGATTTGAAATTATTTCCTCCATCCCAAGTAACTCTTATGACTTACTTCAGATTGTTCACAAGCTCACTTCATCTTACATTGGGTTTTTAGTAGGAAAACAGAGGAAAAAATAGCATAACTTTACCATCAACAATTTAGCTTAGTAAAATTGCTCATTACCTATGACTGTGCATTTTTTGTCATAAACTACAACTAACCACAATGGCCAAGTTTGCACAGCGTGATACACTAAAGCCAGATAAAACATATTATGTCATAATGCAAACTCAGTTACCATATCAGGACAAATGAATAGATTTGTCCACTGGAATCCATTAATTAGATGCTATGAAAACAGCTTCATTTATTTCAATACAAAGTGTTTTTCATTGTTCTGGATTGGTAGTATGCTTAGCATAAAAAGAGCTTCTACTGAGATATAAGATGAACACATTAATTCAATGTATGAATCTTTCCATAATTTTGCTTTTAGGAAATAAATGTTTTTTTATAAGCTGTATTGGGTACAAGTCCAAGTAAGCACATAAAAATAGGATCAGGTAATCTACTGTAACAAATTATAAATATTAATTATTAAATGTCTGGACCTTTAATAGTATTATTCTACCATATGAAGCTACTCTCATCACTCCATTCTGAACAGATGTTTAATGCACCTGAGCTTCTACAATAGTCATTCTTCCCCAACATGGTGCCCTCCAGTTATCAGATGCAGGGGACTTGACTCTCATAATATCCAACAGCATGAAGATCTCTACCACATTTTAGCGATGGTTTGTTTATTTATTTATTTAACACATTTATCTAGCCACAAATAACCTGGTCCCATGCCATGTAGGGCTTTAAAGGTGATAACCAGCACTCAGAAGCCAGTGGGATGTGTGGCTTCTGTAGTCTACATGGTTCCACATATATATTACTTTAATGAAAGGGATTTAAGTCCTTGGATTAAGTGTTTACAGAAAAGCCTTGTCAGTGGCTTCTCTACATGCTTGAATATCTTTTAGAAGCACTATTCCACCATTTTACTCTAGTGGGGTGTTTTACTTGAGTTTATTTCTTGTCTCCATGAATTTCTCTGGAGGGAGTTGCTTTTAATGTCTGCTGGATTTTAGGTTGGTGTTCCCAGCCTGGTGCCTTCCAGAGAAATTGAGACAACTGTCATAATTCTCAACCAGATGTGCTGTAGTTCCAGCTGAAGCAGAAGACCCCAGGCTGTGTTGTAATTAGATTAAAGTTGGACTCTGGGTCTGAAATCAACATTTCTGGAAGCTGAATTACAGTACATGACTAGAGTAGCTTTATGGGAACAGAGCTATATGAATACTGAACTCTTTTATAAATAAAGTTATACTTATCTACTATCTGGTTTAAAAGCTACTTTTAACATTTTGTGTGAGCATAACATAAGGATATTTTACGAATAAAATAGACTGAAAATATTAAAATGAAAGTCAGAAAAAGGCTAATTCAATGCAAGAAAAACGTAAGATTGGGTAGGAACAGGCATGATGTAAAAAATATTTAGGAGACATAAAAGGGTTTCCACATATGGAAATGACTGGAAGTAACATCCTGGAAAAATGATTATATAAAATTAAAAGCTACTTGATAATGCCTCCTCCTCGCAAGCAGAAGGCATTGGTACAATAAGATTACCTTATCATTTATTACACAATTAATAATTTTAATGGGCTGAGCATATCCTTCAAATCATTTGGCTTCCCCAAAGCCACTGCTGTAAAGGGCTCCAGCTACTAGATGTCCACCAATCTCTGAGACATTACACAAAGGGGGGCAAATCTAAATACAAGTTATTGATAATGTTCTAGACATCTGTAATGCAACAGTTTCCTCAACTGACATCAAAAACAGTTTTGCAATGGTCTGGAGAAAAATGTGTAGTGGTTTTAACCTTAAGGCCCTACAGTGTTTGTGATTTGATACAACGACAAGGAAAAGTCAAGGCTATTATGGGATTCCTATGTAGTAATGTGTGCAGGAACTGAGTAGATCTCATTTGTGAAGCTATAGAGTGAATACAATTGTGGGCATTTGGCTGGCAAACAAATGTAGAGCTAACAGACAAGCATGAGGAAATAAGTAGATTAGAACTATTAGGAAATAGGGCAAGCTGAGATATTCAATAAGAACATAAAGTAAGCTACTAGTTTTATAAAGTTTAAGTGTGGAGTGAAATAAAATAGTTTTTGGTAGTCTCTTAACTATTTGAAAACTGAGATGGCAACAATTGTTCACAGGGACCCTTTCAGACTGATATTATTATTCAATTATTATATTCATAATAATATTTTATTAATATTTTATTGTAATACATAATTATATACATGTATTTTATATTATATATACACACAATATTATATTTATTATTAATAATTATGTAATTCATAATAATAAGAATTATTCAGTTCTGGGAATTGAAGTCCACACATCTTCAAGTTGCCAAGGTTGAGAAACACTGCCATAGACACAGGAGGGCAAAAAATTGTCCCTCACCATCTCAGCCAGTAAACAAGAAATGTTTGTGATATTCAAACACTTACACATTCTGTATACAAATAGAAATTCATGGATTATCTGTGGGAAACATTTTCCTGAGTACAAAAGCATTGCTTTTGAGGGCCTAGAAATGGGGTACTCTTGCAGAGATGAACAGTATGCAAAAATAAAAGGGGGGGGGATTCTTGCATGTTACAGTGGTTCCATACCAAAGAATTAATTTATGAGGCATACCTTATATGAAACTTTCTTAAGTCCAGTAAGTAAATATATAAGTAAATAGATGCATATTATGTTATAAACAGCCACGTATACATTCCCCATATCTACCTACACTGGCCATATTTTCTTTGAAAAAATAAAGGACAAACCTGGAAAGGGGTCAAATCTGAAAGAGGTTCATAAGGATAAAAAACGAATTATGTTTATAACTTTGCTTTACAAAGAAAAATTCAAGAGCACAACCAAGAAAATAAATAATTAAAATAAATAAATCTAAAAGACAGCTTTTTGAAATGCAGGAGGTATGGTCACTGTGTGTGTGTGTGTGTGTGT